TATACTTTTTACATTCACTATAAAAAGAACAAAATATGCAATTTGATACAAATCTTATTAATAATTAATTTGGTGCCATATTGTCATTATCAAATCAACCATATTTACCAAAAATATTCCAGCTATCAAGAGTTTATTTTTTGTCCTAACTAATAATGCTCAGCACTGTATAGTAATTTCCTAAAGTGGTACTGAGAGACAAATTGACTTTGACGCTTTCCAGTGGAAATGATTTATATAACTGTAAAAGATTTGTAGCTGCACAAGATCAATTTCGTAGTACTATAAATATTAAAAGAATTAATGAAAGAGATTGTCATATAAAATTCACGAACACCAAACCAGAATATCGCTTATTTTGAAGCTTTTCCCCTGAAATGGTCAATTTTTGGTCCCTCTACCTTATACAGTCAAATACTGAAAATCCACCAACTCCTGAATCGGCATTGCCTCTCAAAATAAACATTTAGTTTTAGGTTCCAGAACCGCACTGGCTACGAAATATCGACGAAAAACGTACTGGATATGCGTCATAATTACCAATAATTATGAGTCATAACAATTACCAAATTATGACACATGAAAGATTTTTCTCTCCAGTGTTATTGAGGTAAAAGCAGCGATTATTTCAACTCTCTTTTCAAGTTCATTCTTCACGTTGTTGTACTTTCTGAGCTTTGTTTCTTTCACGGAGGTGTTTAGTGATGTTTTTTTTTTTTCGGAATTTTTGTGGTCAATTTTAAGATTTTTAGATTTCAGCGCTTTTAATACAATGACAGATAAGAACGCGTTCGTGATTTTACTGCTTGCAGCGTTGAAAAACATAAACACGTTGCATTGACGGTAATGAAAAAGTGGAAATTCTGCTAAAGATGGAGGCAGGTGCTACTGCTCGGTTTATAGCAGAATCGTATGGAATTGCCACATGGACTGTGTATGATATATGGAACAATAAAGAAAAGCTTTTGAAATTTTATAGCAACAGTGATTCTAACGCCAGAATCTGAAACCGGAAAACTTTACATGAGGCGAAATCGGCAAACCTTGATGCTGTCTTGTACGAGTGGTTCCGGCAGCGGCAGAGTGATAGGATACCTATTTCAGGACTATTCCTTAGAGAAAAGGGGAAGCAGATTCATGCTGATTTAAAAACAGAGGAGCCTAATGTAAATGAACAATATAATCAGTTTATATATGTAATAATAATTTAAGTATATAATTAATTATTGTATTAATGTATATAATAATTTAATTAAATGTCTCTAATACGCCATATTTATTTTGTATTTTTAGTCTAAATATTATCATTTCTGTCATGAAATCCGCAAAATCCTAAAATCTGCACAACTTCTGGTCCCAAGCGTTGCAGATTTCTGGACTTCTACTGTATACAGTTATGCATCATAATATGAAAATATTTTCTTGTTTTTAGTATTATTGAACTATGAACTGAAATATGTCTTTATTGCAAATTAGTGTGCTGTTTAAAATCTTAAAATGAAACAAGCAAACCTAAGCGGAGTTTTAACTTCGTAACCCTTTCCTCCGATATCAAATAACCAATGTAAACAGAAAACGAATATAAAGTTAGTGTATATTTTAAACATCTGTAATGTTAAAAGTGATGCTTGAATAAATTCCTAAAGTTTAAAGAAATGATACTTTTTTTCATTTCTTTTTTCATAACTTTTAGAATAGTTACCTTTTCAAGAAAAGGTAACTATTCTAAAATTATGATCAAAAAATAAGATTCAATTTTCTAAAATAATTTAAACTTAACATTGTTTGCTAAAAAGCAACTTTTATATGTTTATTAGTATAACTGAAATCGAAGGTGATTTGATTCAACAAATGTAACTAACTAAAATGCCAAATATTATTCTCCTCTCATGTCTAAAACATTCTTTTAACTGGTGAGTAATGAAGTTAAATTTTTCAAGATAACAAGGGAGAAAGATGGATTCCTAGGATCCCTAAGAATTATGAAATGATTATATTTTCTATATGCCAACAGTCATGGGCAAAAAAAGAAAGAATATCCGGTACTTTTCGGTTTTGCCGGCGCAACCAATAATGGTACAACTGATGCCAAACGGAATATCCACACTGGTAACCTTTTATGCCTCATTTTCAAAACAAGTTGCAGCCATTTCTTATCAGATTGGTTATTTCTTTCAATACTGGCATACAATTACAAGTTTTTTAAGATAGTACAATTTTATGCCCTAAGGCCATTTGTGGTAATTAAAAATGCAATCACACCGCTCACCCAAAGGCGAAAATATAGAAAAGGCAAAGTCAAGGGTTAAATTCATCAATTCTAATGAGAATAAACTAGCGAAGTAAAGCACTGTGGTTTTACGTAATTTCTGAATAAGCTATTTGTATGAATTGAAATAATTCTCGCATTTAAACTTGTATTCCAAGATTTAACTTGAAATTAATGTAGATAATTACTGAGATAATTAGATTTTTGTAGCGTAGTTTACGTGAGATGAGATCACTTGGGGTCACATGATATGAACCGGAGAATCAGCTAGTTGAACCATGAAAGCATAGTAAATTCTTAAATTAATGTCTTTTTACAAATTTATTGTCTTTTATTTATTGACTTCTTACAAAATTTTAAACGACATTAAAATGCTTATGCCTTCAAAATAAAAAAATTCTTGGAACTAACATTTGTTAACATTTTTAAGTGTATACTGTATGTTGTCACCAATAAAGTCTGCTCGGCGAAATTTGCGGCGGCGAAACGAAAAAGTACCGAATATCCTTCCTGTTTTCCCTCTCCAAGGTTGGATTTTCTTCTCATTTCAAATTTTATGACTAAGAACAAGCTATTGAGTTTATGTGAAATCTTTGCTAGTTAGTTGAATTAGTGCTAAAACTGAAATATTTTTTGTGCCAAATTAAAAAAAAATTATGCCCATTTTAGAAACTGCTTTATTTTTACATAATTTGGTGGTATGGGAGGGTGCTCAGGAACCCACAGCATCCCTCCGGGTTACATGTCTGATTAATTTCAGCCAGAGCCACAATCTCTGATGTCAGTTGAGACTAGTTGTTAGTAATTTCTCATAGTTGGTTAATCACAGCAATTATGAGTTAGATAATGAATGCTTTCCCCAACATGGGAAATAAAGGATATTTGTGCTTTTTGGAAGTTTTACCAATGCTTTAGGGGGTATATAATCAGTTATTCTCAGAACTAATTAGTAATTTCATTTTAAGATAAAATATGTCCATTATTTTCACTTATGTAGTAAATTTACCTAAAGGCATGTGATATTTTTCATAGTATTTTCAGCAACTCTAAGTAACGTTTTCCTTGGCTGACATGTCATTACGTGCAGGGTGATAGTTGGATGAGTAGACAGTAAAAATATTTTTGATAGTGACAAACTAAACATTAATAAGTGGTTAGATGAAGAATGAAAAATTAGAATGTGAATGCATAGTCATGAGATGCCAAAGTAATTGGTGCAAAAAGTAGATAAAATTTGTGTATTTATTAAGGGCAGAAAGACAGTGTATGACTAAAATAGTTAATAGTGTAAAAAAGGAATTTTCCTGTTTAAACTTTAAAATTAGTTAAAATTCATTCTTGGATTGGCATTGTCTTCACAAAAGCCCAGCACATTTCAGTTTGATATTAGAATTTTTTAAATGTTTCTTACTTGCATGAGATTTTCTTATATATTGTAAGATTTTTGAAATCTTGTAACATATTAACCCCTTCGTGCGGACTGTTATGTCTACGTGCCAGCAACGAACACACTCACTTCCCGGCCGACACGCAGGCGTGCCAGAGCGTTTTCCCGTTCAGCCCTGACTGTCACGTATTTGTGCCAGTGTCCTGGAACGTTTTAAAAACTATAATTTCTGCCACAAGATGGCACTGTATGTCCATATGGTTTCAGATACATGTACATTAGACCTACTTGAAATGAGAGAAGCATGACTCACATACACGTATTTTTTATTATATAAACAGAAGGGGAAATAAATGTTTCTGAATGGCGTGATTTATGGCGTCTCTTTAAATTCGCACGTGGTAGTTGTTTATTGTAAGTAGAGAAGTTTTATTTTCACTAAAGCATTGGGTATTTTGGTTGCAGTTCAGTTTTTAGAAAATAATTAGATCTTGTTAGACATGAATTCTTTCTGTTTTTACCGTTACAATATCGAAGTGTCGAAAATGTTTAACAGAGCATGAAATAACAGAAATGATGCAAAATATTTCAGATATTGATTCTGAAATTCTGATATTCTGATATTGATTCTGAAAGATTAACTGAAAGACATTTTCCAAAATTTTGTTCAGAAGAGACTGATAAGAAAATGAGACAACGATGCTTCGTTTGTTCACATTCCCAGAAAAATCCTCCAAAACGGCAAATGAGTTATTACAAGTGCAAGGAATGTAACATAGGACTGTGTGTAGATCCTTGTTTTCAAATTTTTCATACAAAAAGAGAATTTTAAGTAATATATTTAGTTTTCAGATGTATAATGTTAAATGTCATAAAATGGTGAGTAATGAAAATAAAATGTGTAAAATATGCATTTAAACAAGAAATAAGGTAGTTAAAGTATATATAAAAATGTCTATAAAGCTGTTTAAATACTCTATAGAGCATTATTAAACAATGCTTTGATGCTTCGGAAATTTCATAGATTTAGGCTTAATAGCAAAAAAGCCCCCAGCCCTGGACAGACGCTCGCGTAAGACACTGCCGGCCTCCGCGATAAGCGTGCGTTTGCGCTACCCGGTGCGAAGGGGTTAAAGATTTTGAAATTATGATGAGACTTCAGCTTCAGAATTAAAGGCTAAAACATGTTTCATGTCTGAAGTATGTAGTTATGTGCAGTGGCCTAAGATTTGAATATTTTACACTTGGCCCATTATTTCCTTAAATATTGCTTCTAATATTTTTCATTGTGGTGTTATATATATTTTGATTGAAGTAATTTTTAAGATTTATTTAACTTTGCAGGGAAGGATAACATGTGCAAATGTACTTAGTGATCTGTATGCGATGGGTGTTACTGAGTGCGATAATTTGCTGATGCTTTTGGCTGTTAGTAATAAAATGAGTGAGAAAGAAAGGGACATAGCTATACCACTACTCATGCGGGGTTTTAAGGTAAGTGTTTTCTTGTATTCAGAGTAGTGCTAGTTTCTGTACATAGGGTAGTTATAATGAATTGACACTGGAAACTACAGTGTAAGTTTGAAATTGCACCTCAAACCTCAGGAAGCACGAGTGCTTGCTTCTACTAGCCATGGCATGCATATAGCAGCAAGACTGCAGCTGGTGTATATACCAGACCTATTTTCAGTCCATCATAAAGTAGAAAACAAGGTTCTTTGAGGTTAATTCAGGGCTGCAGAGCCATTCTGTTGGACCATGTCATCTAACAGAAAACATCTTGACCGTGACTAATAAGTAATTGGTTTCATTATCTAAAAAATTGTTATGAATGTTTTGCAGAGTTGTAGCTCTCACACAAATAGGATATGCAATAGCCACCTAATAAACCACCATTAGCTGCATATTCACCACACACTTATTTTCTTGGAGAGTAATTTCTTAAGACATATATTTTTGATTTTCACAACACTGTGGGTGTAGCAATTCTATATACGCTTACTGTGTTTTGAAAACAATGGACAGTGTAGTGTAACTGCAAGACAGTCACTCTCAGGCAAGTGATAGTAAGAAAGTGAATGTGCATTTCAGCAAGGCCTTTGTATAAGATTTGAAATCCTTTTAGTTTTGAATGGTGATTGGCCTAGAACTCTACGCAATGCAGATGACATTGTAGGTTAGTTTTTCAGTGGCAAAGTTTAGAAAAAAATGATAACTATTTTTAGAATAAAGAGGGAAATTACTAATTTAGAGTGTCATATTTTTTATCTTATGTACACACACATATAAATTAAGTTTCAATAAACCAGTAGCTACTTTCTTCTTTCACTTTAGCTCCATCCGCACATAAGGAACATTTTCAATTTTGACTGTATCTTTTTTAAAATTTTAGCCAAGTGTTTTTTAGTTCTGGGCTGTTAGGATTGGGCTGCTACAGTTTTGTCTTTCCTAATTAAAATCTTTCTATATATTAAATTTCTGAATTGCACATTGGTTAGTTCAGAGGAAAGCTGTTTATCATTAGATACCAAGCCTCTGATGAAGATGTCATGGGAATTGTAATTATTATTATTATTATTATTATTATTTTAAGTTGTTTCTCATAACAACTTTAAAAAATAATTTTGTTGTTGTTGTTGTATTTTAGAGTGGTTAGTTGCACTGCTTTGATCAAGTTTCATTTTTGTTTTTAAAATCAGTCTTGCTTTAGTTTTAATTTTACCACAAGATGATTTAATTAAAAAAAATTTACTTATGCCAACTTTACCCAGCAGTTGCTTACACTGTTTGGAACGATTTTCATTTTTGTGTACTTTACTGTATCTGAATATTATTTTTGAATTTTCTTTGACTTTTTATTTTATTAGCTTTATATTCCTGATAGGTTCTTTTCATTCTAAATTTGTTATAAGTGGTTCTTATTTAAAACTTACCTTCACTCTTAATGATGTAGCTGGAGATGCAGAGCAATGGGTCTTTGTGTAACTGCAATTTGGTTTTATTCTATCTTCTTCCAAAATTTCAGCTTTTATATGTGACAGTATTGTCTGAAAAAGAAAGTTTAAAAGAATTAAAAGTTTTTTTGGGGGGGAGGGTAAACACACACCCTTTTTTTTTAATGAGGTTGTATAAAAAAACTGCCACAAAAAATATCTGAAACTTGGAAGTTGGTTTAGTTTATATAGTCCAAGAGCATTTATCGAATTTTTAATATATGAGTGTACATCTTTTTCAAATACTAGAGGTCAACGTCTGTTTTGTAAAGCTGAAGAAAACAATGTAATTAATAATAGAGACAGTCATACATAATGATCAGTTATTAATTATATGCAGAATAAGAAAAATAGTACTTTAAATTTTTCCTGACCTCTCCAAAAATTGCCATATCAGTGATAAAATTAAAAATGGTATTAATTATGTAAATGCTGTAATTACATGATCCATCAAATGAGTTGATTAGAAATATTTGCTCGTTCAAAATAAATTATGAAAATGGACATTTTAACAAAAATTTTGGCATGACAATAAGTTATCTGATTGATTGCATGCACATGGTGGATTAGAAGCTTAGGGCTTTTCCTATGTGTAACTTAACTGGGACCACCTTCTTTTCAAAAGGCCTCCATGAAGGTATCCTTCCTTTGGCTTATAGCAGTTGTGTGCTATGCCAGAATTAAAAATCAGTTGACCAATCATTTGACATCAAGTTAGGCAACATTGTTAACTAAGTGCAGTGATTGATGGTTTTCACTTGCAAAACTGTTTTTAAGGAGCATGCAAGAAGTTCTGTTGTTTAAGAGTTTGTACATCAGAGATGTGATGGTTGATCATTGCAGTGATTTTCATGACATCATTTCTTAAATGTTATACATGTGATTTTTATAAGCATCCAGTCAAAAAAATTACTTTGGTAAAGTCTAGTAATAAATGCCACCCCAGAATTCTTATAGTAATAACTACACAATTTTTAGTAATTGAATAATAATAATTGAAGGATTTGATTTATATATAAATGATTTAAAATGTTTGCTTTTTATTATTATTATTATTATTATTTAGAAATATTCAAAAGAATTGTCATCTTAATTTGAAACATGTCTGAGAGAATTTTTACAGTTCATTCGTCCCTCTCTCTTTCTACTTTTCTAATAGCTTTGTTCACGTTTGAATTAAGCCAAATGATAAATTACATTTGTATAAATAAACAAGTGAAATGTTGTGCAACCTATGCTTAGCAAAGTCTGAAAAGCAGTTATATTTTAGGATTGTGCATATGAAGCTGGAACTAATGTAACTGGAGGTCAAACTATTATAAATCCATGGATGACACTTGGAGGTGTTGCTACTGCTGTCTGCCAGACAAATGAATTCATAATGTATGTATAGTAGTTTTATCAGGGTTTTTATTTTATTTTTATAATCTGTATTTGTCGAGTGGTTACTGTAATTTTAGTGCTGCTAAAACTTTGTGCCAGACCAGTGAATTCATAATGTATATATAGTAGTTTTATTAATTTTGTATTTTTATAATCTGCATTCGTGCAGTGTTTAATATAATTTCAATGCTGCTGAAATTTTATTTAATATTTTTATGAAAGCAAATTGCAGAATAAGCTCATCCAATTTGAGTGAGGATAGGGGAAAAAAAAAAAAAAATTAGTGGAAATAATGTCTAGTACGTTATATGTGGTAATTCTTAGAAAAAGAATATGTTGCTCAGAGTTAACTGTGCTTCGTATTATTTCCAGACATTTGATTGTTTCATTATGCATGAAGAAAAGCATCATCTTTTTTATATCTAGAAATCCTGATATGGTTGTTAATGGTTTTGACAAAGTTGTTATTACTGAGTTGACTTTACTAAATTATCTCTGTATCTTCTGAATTTTTTATTTTATGGTTAATCGTTTTTAAAATTGTTTCTTTAAGAAATTAATCTGTTGAAGCGTTTTCATTTTGAAAATGCATTATATGAATTTGATAATTTTGTGGCAAGTGTTCAATTTTAATTTCTACACAAATTATTTCGTGTTTGTATTATTTTGAAATGAGCTCTTATATGTGTTTGAATATCTATATGCAGTTAAGATTGCCAACAGTAGTTCAGCACCTTATAATTTTTCAAGCCTTTGTAATTTAAAAAAGAGGTATATATATATATATTCAAATTAAATCTTTCATTCCTGGAGCAGTAATAATAGTTTTATGAAATCTGTCTCTGTCTAGCAGAACCTATAATTTTGTGTGTTCTGCATTGTGTATCTTTGAATGTCATCTGATAGGAGAATGAGGAAACTGAAGTGGTGTAAGTTATTTCTGCTATTTCATTTAGTTAACTGCATTACTACTACTTTTTTGTTGCTGATAGTTAACTTGCCTACACGAAAATCAAACAAAAAGCCACGCAGAATCCTCCACTAGTAATTAACACTTGGCTATAAGAAAGTTATATTAAATAAAAAAAATTTTACTGCTAACTGCCAGCATTACTGCAGGAATCTTATTAATGTTCGAGATTAAATCTCATTTTTCCAGCCAACAGTAACAGTAATTCAGGCAATACTTTTTTTATCGCCAACTCCATAGAATCACTATACTGAAGTGTTTTCATGAATCTGGCTATTATTTTATCTTCATACATCTGTAAGTAACAAGCATCTTGAATTTAAATTAGTCTTTGTGAAATTAAACCAGCATAGAGCATCTTGCTATAGAAATATGCAGGCTAAGTCAGAATGAATCATTTTCTTAGATTATAGCAAGCAATGTAATTTGCACACATTTACCAGTGTTAAATCAAACTTTGAAGTTTCTTGTCATGCATTACAGAGACTACCAAGATCCTTTTGTCATGTGGCACTCAGTCTGTACTCCAAAGGAACAAACAACAACAGTCTTCTTTCAAATTCATCAGATGCCATTCCATGGGATTTTGTTGGGGGGGTCCTCCCGAGAAATTTATCCTTGCGCCCCATACACCACATGTATTGTTTTTGTGCTGCTATTACCATCCAACTTTGAACTCTGTTAAATTTCAAATTAAACCTTGCTGGCTATTTTATGGAAAAGTATCAAGCAGTTTAAAAATGTCTTAGGTATTGAAATCATTTGTGCTTTCTGAAATAGTACTAAACTGCATGTATGTTGCGCATGATCACATTTATGTTTAGAACTTAATCCATTTGTTTAAAAAGTGTGAAATTTAGATTAATAAATGGCTTAATTTAGTATTAATTTCTAGTAATGTATTTTCCATGCAGCCCAGATAATTCTGTAATTGGAGATGTTTTAGTCTTGACCAAACCTTTGGGCACTCATGTTGCTGTAAGTGCTCATCAGTGGCTTGAACAACCTGAGCGATGGAATAGAATCAAACTGGTTGTTAGTGAAGAAGATGTACAGAAAGCATATCAGAGAGCCGTGGATAGTATGGCTCGATTAAACCGAATTGGTAATTTTTTTTTTTTTAGAACACTTAATGTAATGCCATTTTGCATTTTTGTTACTTGATGTTTGATATTTTGGTTTGTAATTATAATAGAGCCTCTGACAGTTATCTGCATGTGAAGAGATGTTTGCAGAGGATTTTATATGAAAAAACTGTCTTGCAGTTAACTTATGATAGAAAAACTTGAAACAACCATTCGGCAGAATGATCTGTACCTATTATAGCTAAGACACAACTTCCTGAGTTTTGAGTCATAATTTGTATCATTGCTTGAAACTTGGAATACTAGAATTGTAAAGAATAGTATTACTATTTTATGGTCCCTAATTTTGCAGCTTATTTGCAGACATAATGTAAAAATATTAAAGGAGATGATGGTACACCAATGAAAATTTTTAAAGCATTTTTAGTGGTTTCTTTGAAGTTAAATATAGCAGGGTGCCAGAGGAACTTGAACAAAATGTTCTCGTGGTTTATGACAGTAATGAAACTAAGCAGTCATTGCCTTCTGGCTTGCAAAATTCTCATTTGATGAACTTATTGCTAATTTGAATTAGATTCTTAAACAGTGGAATATTTTTACTTGTAGTTAAATTTTAGCAACTTGAATTTATATCATCCAAGCTTTTTGAAGCCTTTTAGCAAAGTGAAAACATACTTCGCTGGCTATTTCTGGTGCACCTTTTTGGCACCTTTGGAGTGGCTAACCTTTTGGGACGAGTACCTCTATCTGTATGCCAAAATCTAAAACAGTTTATAAAAAGATTGTCTTGCATGGCAGTTTAAAATCAACTCAACCAGATTCACATTTGCTGTCATTTGAGAACAGACATGGCAAGATGTAAAAGTGCTAGAGCAAGGCAACTCAGACTCTGACCATGCTTTCTTGCTTTATTATTGTGCTGGCATGAGGTAAAGCCACTTTCCAGCACTATTATATTCACTAGTGTTTCAGTAGGGTTTTTATAAATTTTGATACAGTTCATGAAGACATTATTTTTTCTAATTTTAAAAATTTTCAATAATCTCCAAGTGCCACTGTTAAAACTCCGTTGTGCATGCTATGGGTTAGCCTTCCATGTGCTAAGTCGACAAAAAATACCATAATAATCATAGTGTTGAAGGTACAAATATAGAACCACCTTCTTCAGCTGCCGAAAGGCAAATGACAAAAGTTTGAACTTTATTCAGTTGGTAACAGTGGGAGGAACAAAGAAGATATTTTAGTGCCATCTGTAGATGAAAAATTAAAGCTAATCTTTTGTCATCTTTCACCGAGTATAGCTTTGTTTTTGGAGAATGGTTATTTGAATACAGCAAAGCGAATGCCTTTATGGAGGATTTTCTGAGGTGAACAGGCTCATATTTGTTTTAAAACACGAAAACTAAGTGCAACCAGTCAACTCATGGGTTTGAATGCAGGTCAAACAACCAGTATTCATCAGTCTTAACCATTCAGCCACTGGTGAGGTTAAAGAGTCTGTGTGTATTCTTGTGTAGCATACACCCTGAACCCTACACTGAAGACGAAGTAGCGAATTCTTGCTGTCTTTAAAAATAAATACTGTGGAAGAAAGGTTTAAAGAACCTTTTTATAAAACAGATGCACACATTTCATGCTCTTAAATGGCCACCATTTGTGGCTGTGTAACAGGAAAATATGATTGTAACAAATCACTAGTAAATTAAAGAGTTCTAACGACTGGCTTCTTAGCTTAACTAATGCTAAATCAACTGCACACAGCAAAGCCAAGCCGAGAAATATCAGTATAAACTGAAAAGTGTCTAACACCAACCTGGAGAGCTAATATTTTAAACTCGCAGCATAAAACTCGGAACTGAGTCGTCTACTGCTTCTGAAACGCATTTAGAATTTGAATCTATGTCATACAAAATTTACATTGCAGCAGGAAATTGAAATCAAGAAGGAAAGAAAAGAAAACTAAAAATAACTGGTTAGAATAAAATAAATCCTTACGATGTATGAAAGAATGAAGCTGTGCAACTATCAAATAATCAGAACAAATTTTAATTCTGTAATATTAATTGCTGTGTTAACCTGTAGGGAGGGGGTATGAGTCTTACCTTTTACTTTCAGTAATAATTGTTTCATTAAATGCTAACTAATGTTTGAATGGCTAAAACAGCAGAACTCTGCCGAGTTTGATACGGGCTCATTTTTTATACTGTAGAGGGCAGAATATACGAGTTTTCGCTTTTATTCATGATAACCATCTTTTTCTTTTGAACTAGCTGGGTTTTCGTAATGTAGATCAGCAGTGAATTAGGAGTCTTCGAGTAATTTTAATGCTTGCATATTCGATCAGTTGCTATCATTAAGCATCTAAAACTCGATTTTTCTCATCATAATTTTAAAATAATCCTACGAAGATATTTTAATGCAGTGTAAACACAGTGGCAGCTATTGTGTTAAAATATCATTGTAGGTTTTTTAGGTTGTTGAACATTTACTGGGAACTGGTGATTCAAATATATCTTAATAAGAATTAGTGCGAATAATTTTTTGAAAATATTTCAAGATTTCATCATTTGCTGTTTCATAAAATCTTGCTTTTATGAAATATAGCAATCATGTTTGAAAAGGAATCTCAAGATATGCTTGTGTAGTGTTTAATACAAAGCTATCAGACCTTTGTATAATCTTAACTCAGTGTAGAGCATATAAAACTGGATGCTTAGTTGTCTCTTAAATTTCGAAGCAATTAGTGAAGATAAAAGCATGACATTTTGATATTAATATAGAAGGATTCTAGTGGTAAATAATTTTCTACCATTCGTTAAAGTATTTAATTTTATACTCAAGGTATTTAACTAGTTTGAGTATATCTTAGATGTATATTGCCATTTATCCTATGCCCATATTTAGGGAATGCTGTAATGAGTTTTTTTATTTAGTAGAACTGAATAAAACTTTAATATAGATTAAACACTTGGAAAGCAAGAACATGCGGAACGCAGTTTTGCACGTATGCATTTTCTTAATTGCCTCCATTTAATTTCTTCGACTTAAGAATTTAAATTATGTGCGGTATGCTGCAGAACATCGACTCAATTCCAGTAGCCCTCTATTAATGACTGGTTTGAAAAATCATTAAAAAAGTCGAGCGTTACCTTAGAGCGGCAAAACCTGAGCTTTAAAGTTTTCTTAATTCTCAATAATGCTCCAGGGCTGGATCAAGGAATTAGAAAAATATTTAAAGTGTATTATATCAGACATGTTTATATTATTGTAAATAAAGCTGTGGATGAAAGAAAGCATGATGTGCTAGTTTCATTTTGGAAGCAATTCAATGTAAGATACTGCATAGAAATTAAATTCTCATGGGAGCAATTGAATGACTACTACTACTTACTGGCAATCAATGCTTGCTGGCTCACTCACCAGATGTTTTCAAAAGTTTTAAAGTATTTTGATGAGTTGAAAGTGAAGCGAAAGAACTTGGCGAAATAGAAATTGCAAAAGCAGTAGGTGGCGATGGATTTTCAGATATGGAACAACTCAAAGAATTTGTCTAGAATGACAATTGTTAAATAACAAATGAAAAATTGGATAATCTTTTAACAATAGCCGATGGTTGGATTACTGATAGTGAAGAAAGTAAAGAACCTTTAATGTATAAAATGGCATAAAAATTGCACAGGAACTGTCTGGTTTTGCAATGGAGAAATGAAGAAAGAAGACACTTTATGAGAGGTATTGAAGAGATTTACAAAACATTTAATGAATTGCATAAGCACATTGTCCCAAGCAAAAATAATTGTATCATGTACCTACTTATTAAGCAGTGATAAAAGTCCTTTCATTTAACCACTTGTGCTAAAAAGACATGCCACGCACGTCGAGATGCTTTTGTCTCAAACCGCGAGCGCCGTGAACACCACGTCGATAGGCATTTAATGCAAAAATGAAAATAATGTGATGCACACATTGCCTAACAACGAGATTGTTTATTTCTTGAGTTACAGCTCTGGCTTGCACTCGCAGATGCGGAGCAACGTAAATGAGACTTTACTGCTTGTTATATTGTAGCACACGGCACCGCAACCATGAAGTTTAGTCGTAGCGCAAGTGCTTAACAGTTACATTTTATCCCTTGTAATTGTAACAGTATTTAGATTTGTATAATATATGCATACTTTCTAAATCTGAACAGTACCTAACCCATTTTTCTTTAGAAAGTTAAAATTGTAGAATATGATTTTGTCATGTGCACAACACTTTAATGATATAACCCCATGTTCAGCAATTGTTTACTATATATATCATTTGGCAATTAGTTCTGCTGTTAGTAATTCATTGTAATTTTTTTTTTAAATCTAATAATATGGTTTTCATGTAGTTTCCTTTTGTTGTATTTCCTTTAAGTTATGCTGTATGAAGTATTTTTTTCATGTGCAAATTTCCTAAAAGCAGTGTACTTACAAGTTAGCATTTTAAATGTGGCTGGTTTGTTTATCGTATTTCTTACTATATGCTTGAAATGTTTGATAAATAATGATATAATAAAATACATAAAATTTTCATCAATTGTATGTGCTTGATAGTTTATTATTGATGTTAACTATTTGTTACTAATTTGAACTAATTTTTAATGTGAATTTTCTCCTAGCTTCTCGACTTATGCACAAGTATAATGCCCATGGTGCTACTGACATAACTGGCTTTGGATTACTGGGTCATGCACAAAATTTAGCCAAAATACAGAAAAATGAAGTTTCTTTTGTCATTCATAACCTTCCTGTTATTGCAAAAATGGCAGCTGTCGCTAAAGCATGTGGAAATATGTTTCAACTTCTTCAAGGGCATTCTATTGAAACTTCAGGTATTTAAAAAAGTAAAATTCATATCAGTATCAAGTAGAAGGATTGATAAACTACACTTGTTTCATAAAATAGAAGTGTAATTTCTGCTTTTTAATTATGTCAATAAAGTTTGTGTATAAAATGCCTATAAAGAAAGCCCATTTAAATTGTAGTTCAAACCAGTCTGGGTTTATTATTATAAAAGGTAGTTGCCTATTCCAAATTTTTCCTCTGTATTAACAGTAGACTTTGATGTAATGAAATACTGCTTTAAATTTTTGGAGTCTGAAAGTATCGTAATTGACGGCATATAAGACGTACCCTTATTTAGACGGCCACACACAAGGAAAGAAAAGTTTCAATAGCGTGGTTTCTTTTAGTTCTCGCGTTTCGTAAAAGCCAAATAAACAATTATTGAATGCAATTACCTTCACGTATAAGACGCAGGTTACTTTTTTGAGACCAAATTTGGGAAAAAAAGTGCGTCTTATATGCCGTCAAATACAGTAATTATTTATATAATTGGACATCTGTGTTTTATTGTATTTCATTCATTGTTTTAGTTAGAAAACAGAGTTTAACAGGTACTGCAAGTTTGGAAGCAGGAAAGCTGTGTCTGACTGGTGTATGCAACTGTCCATATTGTGTCAAAACTTGTTAACCCTTTGGCGTGGGGTGGTCATGCTCTGAAACCACCAATTTTTGAATTTTTTTCTCCTCTTTTCGAAATTTTTTGAGTGAAAATCAATTGATTACTGATCTTTTACCTCTAAATAACACAAAATGACTGCAGAATCATACATATTTTAGGTCTTAGCACTTCAAATTGGATGTCTTTTAAAATTTGTTTTAAATGAGACAAATTAACTTCCTTTTATTAATATAAACAACTTTAAATTTTAAAAGTTATTCATCAAACATCATGATTTCTCTCATAAACAATAAAAAACTGCAATAATTAAACTGCATGTATTAAAAAATCCTCTATATGTATGGCTTTGCTTTGTGGTTTCATGGCATGGCCACTGCGCCACTAGAGCATTGTGTCAGAATGCTCACAATCCTATAGAAGCTCGGTGGTTGCGCCTTGAAACCACTGCTCTTCACAATGCTGATTGTGTTTTATCAAATATGAATGTTTATTTTTACCCAGATATAGATAAGGGGCTAAGAAACCACAGAGTTATTTTATTACTAAACAATACATGCACCTGCCCAGTAAAAAGGTCTTTCTTTTCCAGAGACTTTCTTCTGACCTTAACACTTACTTGCCTCCCAAGCTAGTACTGTGATTTTTATAAATTATTTCCTGTGAGTTAAATTGAATGTAAATATAGTTTGATATAATTCAAAAAAGAAATCGCATAAAGTTTTATTTACATTAAAAATATTTTCTGATATTTTGGAACAAAATACGAATAAAATGAGTATGAATGGGAAACGAATGCTATGTACCAGAGCCAAAAAGACCAAGCCCCCCCATTAACATAAAAAACCACAAATTTCATGTGCCACATGAAAAGAAACTAAATAACACTGGACATATACCAGTGAAATTTAGATCCAGGCAGTGTACATTTTGTAGCACAAGGAAGGAATCTTATAGAATAAGTTACATGTCCGAAATGTGCAATGTGGGTCTATGCAGATACCAAAAAGACAAACATGCTTTGAACAGTGTCACAAAAAAAAAAAAAATTCTTCTTTGAAATTAAAGGGAAAAAAAATTTTTTAATACTTATTTTACTGAGTTTTTTATCCATTTAGCCAAATGTCCTTATTATGTAGGTACTTACATTTTCACTGCTACAGAAAAATTACACAAATGTTTATTTTTTAATTTTTTCTGGCGATTTATTTAGTAAAATAATGTAAAAAAATTGTATATAATGCAATTCTTACATGCATTTTTTTTAGAATTCATAAATTTTGTCATTTATTGCAAATGCGCATGGAAAAAGGTAAGTTTTCCCCTACTACCTCAGTAGGTTTCAAAGTCCTAGATGCACAGTGGTTTCACAGTGCAACCACCACCCACAGAACAATGGGCAAATGGGCAAGAGTAGATTTTTTTAATTCATATATTATTTGTCTCTAGGATCATAATATTCAATTTCTAGAGTTTTTAGTTAAAAAAATTTTTTAAATCATATGCCCGTCAAAGGGTTAAAATGAAATTGCCTATTTCAGTATTTTCCATGTTATGTTCAAGATATTTGACATAAAGTAAGAATTGGGGAAAAAAAAAGGACTGTGAATCATGTGTTATTAAAATTCTAACCTGTTCTGTCAGATACAGGAGAAGAGGATGCATTCTGTCATATTTTTATTTTTACATCAGGCATACAGACACAAGTTTCAGACAGTCATGTCTCCCATTTGAATTCTACGAGATGTGCACATATATGTCTAAGTGACTAAAAGGCCTGTTAGTTGTGGCTGCAGATGTTGCAACTATTCTAACCAACCCCTTTTTGGCCTATGTTGTTGAAGAAAATCCACTTTTCATAAGAAGTGAGGATCCAGTCCAGAATTTTGTCTGAGCATTATTATTCGAGCTGATTAGTGCATGCCTAAACACGTCTGTCCTTATGTGCTTGAGTCAGCTCATGCAGCACCCAGCGATTGAACTCGTACATCAAGTTTATGTGATGCATAGTGCAACTAACGGACATGACACTAACATGTAACTCCTTAGCAAGCTCTCGAGTGGTGACAGATTTATCTCCCACAAATTCTTGCGGGCTGGCCAGAGCACGCTGCTTTTTGAATCTCATAGACCTTGATTTTGAACTTTTGGTACCAAACCTTCACAGTGTCTTATGATACAACATTCGTACCTAAAGCTGTACACGTGATTTGGTGATATTCTGTAGCTGACTTATTGCAATAGAACTAGAAGGAAATGTCATTTTAATCTGGTAGCATTTTCAGACACCTTGTACTTAATGACAGTCATATTTTTTTTTTACAAATTTCACAACATTGTGTTCTAAACTAAGACTCTTAATCCTTCGACAAAATGTGATTAAGCACGCCAAATCGAACTGTTTGCGCAGTCAATATTTGTGGTGTAGGAAATTTTTGTTAAACCCTGATATTATCAGTTAATTGCATCTTCAAATGATTAAATTATTTGGTTGTGGCAAAGCATTCTGGAGCTTATGGAAAAGAATGCATTTGTGGGATGAAACTAGTCTTGTGTTTACAGTTTGCATGCAGCTAGCCTGTTCAATGGCCTGGAAGGGGACTGCCATTATTTTGTTGGCTTCTCAGCCATTCCACTATAAGATCAGTAAAGGAACAGTATTAATGAATATGAATTAATAAATGATTTCACTGTACTTGCAGATTAGTTATACTATCCATTATACTGAAATGAATGTTGTTTTTATTTTTGTATCTTTTATTGGAAAGTATATTAAAAAAAAAAAAAGCGAGCATATGATGTTAAATTGATAAAAATTCCCTTTGTGGTCAGTTTATGATGTCACCTAAAACTATTAAATTTCGACGTTGAGTTTTCATATCATTGGTAAATTCATATCACTGCTGATTTTTAATATTTTCATGCTCATTTAACATTTTCTACCACTATTTTATTATGCTTCTGCTAAAACTTTTATCTTTCTATTTAAAAAAAAAAAATGTGTCTTTCAGGAGGTCTTTTGATATGCTTGCCTCGGGAGCAGGCCGCTGCATATTGTAAGGATATTGAGAAACAAGAGGGATTTCAATCTTGGATCATTGGCATAGTCGAGAAAGGCAATCGCACAGCAAGAATCATAGATAAACCTCGAGTGATTGAAGTTCCATCTAAAGAAAGGGATGGGGAGCTTTGGTAGAAGCTCTGGCATTACTCCAGTTTTTGATCATTCCATAAAAATTTGTTGTAATTCAATTGTTTTCAATTATAAAATTGACATATGCGAGGTGTAACATTGTGAACTCATTCTAGCCACATTTCTGTGAACTAGGATGGTGTATCTCAAACATTGGCATCTGTAATAATTATTCAAGATTAATTTACATTCTTTGGGAAATAAATAAATATTCATTTGCACAATTTTTCATGAGTAATTTCTTTCATTCACTCAACATTCACTAAGCTGAATAGAGAAATTTGGCTAAAGTGTACTATCAATCTGTGTGATTGAGGCAAAATTGCCATAGGTGTCTTTAACAGTGATCTTTGGTTGTGCTAAATGAATCTGAAATTTTCTGGTAACACATTTTAAATGAAACATATGTAATATTAGAAACATAATTAAAAAATCAACCCTGCTAAACAAAAAAAGAAAATATACACATTTCTGTTGTATAAATAATGAAAAAATACATATCTATAAAAATGTGGAATTGTTCTTTGTGCATATATCCATAACGTATTTGTGTGATTTAAAGTGGCCTGGTTGCACTTCCTTATTTGAGGAAAAATTTAGTTCTCTTACATCCATACGTGTGTATTTTTAAGCTTGGCAGTAATCTACAGAATTTTTTAAAAGATGTTTCAAGTGTGTTTTAGATTTTGATATAACTCATTGTAGAAGGGCCTTCTGAATACATTGCATTGACATAGCAAAAGATAGCAAATTTTCTGAGGGTTTTCTGTAGTCAGCAGATCATATAATAGTCTAATAAATATGTAAGATTGATTTTTATCAGTTAACTTTTATTAATTTTAACCAGTGGAGTACTGTAACCATGTGAAATCTGAAATATTTGTGTTCCATTCATGCATCATTTGCTTATTGTTGACAGCAAGAGGTTAGTTGAACAATTGAAGCTGGAGATTTATCTTTAGATGCAATTTTTGTATCAGAGTCTTTAAGTACTTAACAAATATAATTTCATACAAATAATTGCTCCTGTTGTCAGGTGATTTAAGTGGTAAAATGTGAATGATCTGCAAATTTATATCCAGAAAAAGTAATTAATGCCTTTTAGATTAGAATTTTAAAAAAATCACCTCTGAGAGAACAAAATTGGTGATCCAAGTGTTATTGTACCTGTTCTAAGGAACTGTGTATAAATTTCCTTCAGTTAATTTGAAAACATTCTTTCTCCTCTACTGTCAGTCCTGCTCAGTTTGTTACCTGTTTCTGTTTCGTGTGACATTACATGGTATGTTTATTATAAATAAGAATATAAACTTAATAATGTAAAATATTACCCCTAAATAGCAAGACTTAACAGCATATCTAGATATTTTCAAATTCTAAATTAACACTATTTTTGAATCCTCTCATGAAGAACAGTATTTAATAGTTGAATTTGTATGATTGTGTATTTTAGTCACTGTTTTCATAAACTTTCATTCATTAAGGGGGTATTTTACATCATTAAAGAAAGTAAAATATTTCACTTTTTAAAAATGTTTTGCAGTTAAAATGTACAAAATATTTTGTATTTCATTAAGTAAGGAAAAGGGCATTTATCAAACAAAATGAAATAAGGAAATTATTTTTTACTTAAATATTTAACATATTTCTTTTTCAGCTAAAGTAGTAAATTGAACTTTATTTTTATTTATTTAGGTTTTAAAACTAGAAGAATAGTAAGTAGCATATATTTCTCATAAAGGTTTTTAGGATAATTATCTCCCTACATGTCATACATATTCATCTGAATTGATTCAGCACATTCTTAGAAAATCTATGGGCTTTTATGTCACTTAAATTGTTGAAAATTTTCAAAATGTCATTAGATTAACCAGCTTACCTATATGTAATGTTAGGACAAATGTTCCACATAATTTAGAGTACTTTTACTTAAAAATTTTTTAATTTTCATGAAAAATAATTTAAGATTTTCATTAGCGTTTTAAACCCAAATGTTTGAGAAAAATATGCTTCAGTTGCTAAGTTTTCCAAATAACTGTTTGAAACTCGTATCAAAGTATGTTTTTTGCAGAAATTTGTGACTTTTTAATAAATTAGATTTAGTGTTAGTATGTTTAGGAAATATATCAATAGTGTCTGCTTTGTAAAGTAGGTATTCAGTGTGGTGGTATGGTTATATTCAGAAAAACAACCATAACATTTATATTAAGTGGGATTGCTATGTGGTTGCTTTATTGGGAGGTTTACCTCCATTTATCCTGCTTCACAGAGAGGGTTTTAGTTTTATATATCCTCATGGAAACATTTCCTGTTAAATGAGCATACCGATTGAATCAATTATAAATGTACAGTGGATGGACAAAAATATGGAAACACCTTGTGAAATGCATGTTTGAAAAGAAAGATTGATTTTAATGAAATGTGTAGGTGGTGCTGGCGTGTTTGACTACTGACACCACCTATACAACTTCGTAAATGTGCTAAACAGTTTAGTTGTCGTCGGAGTACTGTTATGTGAGGTTGTCATTGCATTATGTCAGAGTTAACAGACTTCGAATGTGGGCAAATTGTTGGAGCACGTATGGTAGGTGCTTCCGTAAGCAAGGTAGCCGAGGTGTTTAGTGTTTCAAGAGGTACTGTATCAAAGATTTATTCCGCATATTTGAAAAGCGGAAAAACATCATCTGCTAAATCACAGCGCGGACGAAAGTGTGTCCTGAGTGATCGTGACAGACGATCATTAAGGGCAATTGTGACAAAAAATAAGAAGACCACAGCTGCAAAAGTTACTGCTGAAATGAATGTTGTGAGCTGCTGACCGAACCCTGTGAGTACCAAAACAATTAGAAGGGACCTTCATAAACAGGGAATTGCTGGCCATGCTGCAATTGAGAAGCCACTCATCAGTGATGCTAATGCCCGTAACAGGAAAAGGTGGTGTTAAAGTCATAAAGCCTGGGCTATAGAGCATTGGAAGCGAGTAATATGGTCTGACGAGTCTTCTTTCACATTGTTTCCCACTTCTGGCCGAGTTTACGTCTGGAGAACGCCATCTCAAGCCTATAATACAGACTGCTTGTTGCCAAGAGTGAAACATGGCGGGGGTTCTGTTATGGTTTGGGCAGCCATATCGTGGTTCTCTGCTAGCCCCATGATAACTGTGTCAGGGTACATGACTGCGAAGACTTATGTGAACATTTTGGCCGATCAAGTTCATCCCATGGTACAAACTTTGTTCCCCGATGGTGATGGTGTCTTTCAAGATGACAAAGCCCCTGTTTATACAGCTCACATTGTCCAGGACTGGTTTTCTGAGCACGATAATGAGTTGTCCCATCTCCCCTGGCCACCACAGTCACCAGACCTGAATATTATCGAACCTTTGTGGTCTACATTGGAACGGAAAGTGCGTTCTTGTTATCCACCGCCAACATCGTTATCTGAACTTGCCACCATTTTGCAGGAAGAATGGTATAATATTCCCTTGGCAAACATACAGGAACTGTATTTATCCATTCCGAGAAGACTGCAAGTTGTTTTGGATGCCAACGGGTTTCCTACACCATATTAAGCAAAGAAACGCGTTTTTTAAAGGTGTTTCCATATTTTTGTCCAACCCCTGTACATAAAATTTTGATCCATGATTCCATTTCATTTTTTGTATGTTAAATTTATCAAAATCTTACTGACCAAGCTTGGCCTAACTGACCCCTTAAATGTGGCTGATATTGAAATAAACAGTGATTTTACATTTGATAAATTACAATTTAAAAAAGAACCATGCTCTGCTTTTTTTCTTCTTAAGATTCAGTTTTATAATTCCTAAGTTGTATGGCATGCATAATCATTTTAATCAGTTGCAAAATACTCGTGTGTTGTTTATTCAGAGTTACGGAACAAAAGGCAGATGGCCCATTTCTACGATTTACTGTTTGTATTAATGCGCTACTTTTTGGAATAGGCAACAGTTATCGGGAAATACTTCAGCAATATGCTACATTGATGATATATGCTGCACAAAAATATAGACAGTTCTATATCTCCTGTTGTACTAGGCTGATTGATGAAATTCAAATTGCATTTTTCATGTCTTGAAATTGCAACCTAAAATATATATTAGCAATAATATTAACCTAAAATATATATTTATGTATAGCAGTTGTTCTAATGTAGGTATTTTGACACAAAATCGGAATTTTTCTCAAATCACTTGCCATTCTTTTTTTTTTTTTTTTTCCATATTTCGATTCTACGACTCAGAGTATGCCTAAATGTTGCATTTTGCAAATTTTACAGAGAAATTCAAAAGTTTATCTTGATGCAATTTTTTCAGTTTGTGCCAAGAATAATTCTATTAGTGAACTTCTTAAGTTATAGCAACTTTTTTTCATTTTTTGTAAATGAGTGGGAAAAAGTCATTCTTCATTATTTCAGATTATTTTAACCAAGTGCATTACGTATTTGACATTATTATCACTTATAACAAATCTGCCAAATTTCAAAATGCTTCGATACGTAAATTCAGATATATTGTAGGATATTTTGAATAAAAAAACTCCAATTTTTTGTAGGTATGCTAAGAGATGCATTTACATTAAAATGATGGTAAAAATTTTACAGGTTATAATTCAAAATTTTTTCGAAAAATTTATAAAAATTATTTTAAAATACAAGTTTTAAAAAATGGGCGAATTTCATTTGGAATGGAACCTAAATTTCGAATCCTGGAAGAAGGAATCAAGTAAGTTTAATTAAAAAAAAGTTACTAATAAATATATATCAAATTCAATTAACATTGAGGAGCTAATTTTTTAAAAACTACATGCACAATTTTTACAAAATTTGGCAGTTTTGCATAATTTGAGTTGTAGAATTGAAATATGGAAAAAGCTTGACATGTTATTTCAGAAAATGCCCGATTTTGTGTCAAAATGCCTATATTAGAACAATGCTGTGCTTTCAAGACGTGAAAAATGCAAGTCGAATTTCCTCATTTGGCCAAGTAGAACAGGGATATAGAACTGCCCCCTTTTTTTTCTGCACAGTGTACATTAAATCATATTGAATGGCTCTTTGAACACATATAATTGTAAGTTGCATTGGAAGGGGGAAAAATACTCATTTTGCATATTATGAATTAAATGATGTATGGCTGGATTTCATCTCGCAGTATTGGTACTTATGTTAGTTGCTTAAAAAAATAACTATCATCTTTTATTCAAAATT